TGTCGCAATAATTAACGAAATATTAAATAAAAAAGATCGGCCAATCTGCGTGAGTAAAAGCGCGCGGCGACGAGAGTCGTCCCACCGTAATCCGATACTACGAACGCGGCGAAGCGGTGGGCGGGTCGCTCTCCGAGACATGATGGTGGTTTGCGATATATCGCAATACCGCGCCGAAAAATGACCCGTCCCCCCTTTTCGTGGCGAGAAAATGATGCGCTATCATTTCCACACCACCTTGCGGTAGATAGCATGGTGCGCTTTTTTTATAGTGGTTTCCCCCATAGGCCTATTCCACTCTCAATTTAAAAATTATTCAAAATGCCATTTACTATACGCTGAATATATCGTAAATGTAAAAAATTAATGGACAGTACCTTTACAAAAATTCGTGGTTGAAAATTCCTCGATAAAATGTATTGCACACGTTGATAATGTGATACGATGATAAAATTCTTCAAGAATCCTTTCTTCATCTCGTACACGAAGACGCACTGCTGGACCGGTTATCCCGATATTATGCACGACACTCAGTTTCACATAATTATTGCACAACACGTAAAATTGTACGGCCACTTGGTTTTCGTGCACGCCCGAGAAATGATTCCATGTAAATTGCGGCCGCACGATAAGTATTTTCTCCCGCTAGTCCGTATGCCACAATCATATCCGTATATTCCTGCAGAGTACACTTCATTTTCACTGTTAATTTACTACGCAAACACAAGATTTTTATTAAAACGTCTTAGCTCTCGCACGCTGTTACCAGACTGCGTACGCCAGCAGCACGCAACTACAGCTGACAGCTGAGCGGACATGTGAGTGTAAGCGTACGTGTGAGTTCGACGCCTGCGCACTATGATTACACTCGCATGTCCGCTCAGCTGTAGTTGCGTGCTGCTGGCGTACGCAGTCTGGCAACAACGTGCGAGAGCTAAGACGCTTAGTAAAAATCTTATGTTCGCGCAGTTAATTACCAGTGAAAATGAAGTGTACTCTGCAGGAATATACGGATATGATTGTGGCATACGGACTAGCGGGAGAAAATACTTATCGTGCGGCCGCAATTTACATGGAATCATTTCTCGGGCGTGCACGAAAACCAAGTGGCCGTACAATTTTACGTGTTGTGCAATAATTATGTGAAACTGAGTGTCGTGCATAATATCGGGATAACCGGTCCAGCAGTGCGTCTTCGTGTACGAGATGAAGAAAGGATTCTTGAAGAATTTTATCATCGTATCACATTATCAACGTGTGCAATACATTTTATCGAGGAATTTTCAACCACGAATTTTTGTAAAGGTACTGTCCATTAATTTTTTACATTTACGATATATTCAGCGTATAGTAAATGGCATTTTGAATAATTTTTAAATTGAGAGTGGAATAGGCCTATGGGGGAAACCACTATAAAAAAAGCGCACCATGCTATCTACCGCAAGGTGGTGTGGAAATGATAGCGCATCATTTTCTCGCCACGAAAAGGGGGGACGGGTCATTTTTCGGCGCGGTATTGCGATATATCGCAAACCACCATCATGTCTCGGAGAGCGACCCGCCCACCGCTTCGCCGCGTTCTTAGTATCGGATTACGGTGGGATGACTCTCGTCGCCGCGCGCTTTTACTCACGCAGATTGGCCGATCTTTTTTATTTAATATTTCGTTAATTATTGCGACAATCCCAAAGCAATACCGGTCATTTCTTGTTAATTCGAGCCAATCTACTTATTTATTTCATTAAGGTCGAAAATTTACGGACACCCTGTATATATATATATATAGTATATATATACATATATATATACTCTATATATATATATATATATATATATTTGTGGAGAGTTTTCCACAAATATATATATATATATATACAGGGTCTACCAAAAGTGTGGAAACCCCTAAATATCTCGGAAAATATACGTTTTACAGAAAAGTGTTTCCAACAAAAGTTGTAGGGTTTAAGAAGATCTATATACTGATTCTATCAGTTTGACCTTGGATGGCGTCGTCAAGGTCAGGTCAAGGTCACATTGACTTTTTTAAATGACACCCCCTACATTTGATTGCATATTCTTATAGCTTAATTCAAGAGCTTTCCAAAACACTATAATAATGTTCATTTTTATTAAGTACTTTGCGAGTTATGAGGGTTGAATGATAGAGTAGCGCCGGTATTAACATTATCCAAGGTGTACTACATGGAGGTTACTCGCTCGGATTTGCATCTGTTGTGTGTGTGATCCAGCTAACTAAGGCAAGATCGATTCCTCAACATATCCTCATATTTCGCTGAAGTCAAATTGCCAAAAAATTGCTCCATAAAACGTGTATGAAACGTCTCGTTAGTTCCTTCATTTACCGCTATGTGACGCACTACATGCAGTCTAACTCGCATTTAAAAATCAACTAAGAATGTATAAAGCTATCAAAGAACGAGCACCTTCTAACTTCAGCTTTGAGCAAGCAGAAATTAATTGTTATCGTCCAAATACAACGTACGATTAATTAAAATTAAACGTTTTAAAAATGGCTGGCGACTTGTCGGAACGTGAAAGAATCACTATCCTCATGATGCGTGGATGGGGTGATAACGAAAGATCGTTCTCTGATGTCGTTCGATTATTTAATGACACGTATCCGAACCGTCGAATTAATAAGTCCACTGTGTTAAAAACAATAGAACGTTTTAGACAAACTGGTAGCGTAAGAAATCGCTCTAAGTCAGGAAGACCATTGTCTGCAACCAACGAAGAAAAACAACTTGATGTTCTGAAGACATTTATTGAAGATCCCAATTCTAGTGTTCAGAGAGTCGCTCAAACTCACGATATTGCTCCCATGTCGGTTTGGAGAATTTTAAAGAAGAACAAGTTCCATCCATATAAATTGCAATACGTTCAAGAATTGCAAAACGGAGATGAGGAGCGTCGTATACATTTCTGTGAAAGAATGATGGCACTAATAGATGTCCGGCCCATCTTCCCTTATCAAATTGTTTTCACAGACGAGGCAACTTTTACCTTAACGGGAGAAGTTAATAATCAAAATTTTCGTTTCTGGTCAGATGAGAATCCGAATTGGGTGCGGGAAACTCACACACAACATCCACAAAAAATAAATGTATGGTGCGGAATAATAGATGGCTATTTAATAGGGCCGTTTTTTTTTTAAGAATATTTGAACGCTCAAAGGTATGAGAGATTACTTGTTGATCAAATAATTCCAGCCATACAGAATACTTTTCCAAATAATTTCCAAGAAATATGGTTTCAGCATGATGGAGCTCCTGCTCATTTTGGTGCAGGACCACGTCGTATTTTAAATGAGACTTTTCCGCTACGGTGGATAGGAAGAAGGAACGGAAATGAGGGAGGAGAGGATTGGCCACCTCGGTCACCAGATCTAACTCCTCTTGATTATTATCTATGGGGATATCTGAAGAGTAAGGTTTACAGAACAAAACCTAAAACCATTCACGAATTGATACAGCGAATAAGGGATGAAATGGCTTTGATACCTTTTGAAACGAATCGTAAAGTCATTTCTACATTCTACCAAAGATTAGCATATTGTCAGGAAGTAAATGGCAGCCACTTTCAGCATTTACTTTAACACATTGAAACACATTTGCAATCGTTTGGTGCAACCTAACCTGATCTCTGTATACACGCACCGCACGCACGCACACGCACACATTTCGAACAATTATTATGATAAATGAGCATCCACAAATTTATTTACTGTTTACTATGTCGATTGCTTTCCAGGTCTTTAAATGCTCGATTGTAATTTGGTTGGGTCTTTGCTTTTGCTGACTGGATCCACGACCGATCTTGCCTTAGTTAACTGGATCACACACACAACAAATGCAAATCCGAGCGAGTAACCTCCATGTAGTACACCTTGGATAATGTTAATACCGGCGCTACTCTATCATTCAACCCTCATAACTCGCAAAGTACTTAATAAAAATGAACATTATTATAGTGTTTTGGAAAGCTCTTGAATTAAGCTATAAGAATATGCAATCAAATGTAGGGGGTGTCATTTAAAAAAGTCAATGTGACCTTGACCTGACCTTGACGACGCCATCCAAGGTCAATATACTGATCTCTGATATACTGAGTCATATACTGATAGAATCAGTATATAGATCTTCTTAAACCCTACAACTTTTGTTGGAAACACTTTTCTGTAAAACGTATATTTTCCGAGATATTTAGGGGTTTCCACACTTTTGGTAGACCCTGTATATATATATATATATACAGAGTATATATATATATGTATATACATATATATATATATTTTTAGAGTATATATATATAGAGTGTTTTCCACAAATATATATATATATATATATATACATATATATATCTCACAGAATTATCATCTTCCATTTCTGGAACATATCACAATATTACGCATTATAATAAATCTTAACAACTAAAAATTAAATCTTTGTACATGGTCACATATACATATTAGTATCACATACATACGTATTATAAAATAAACTTTTGGCTTGTGCAAGCCACTTTAAGATATACACGTAGTCTTGAACCAAAAAAAACGTAAGTTTCTGAAAATTATATAATTATTAAATTTTTAATAGATTCTAAACAATGAAAGAAAGAATTATTTTCTACAACTTTCTTAGTTACAACATATGTTAAATTGTACTATTTGATATATTGCGTGTATGTGTGTATATATATATATATATATATATATATATTTAATAAAAATAGCAAAAATAAGGAAAATGTATGTGTATGTATATATATATATATATACATACACATACATTTTCCTTATTTTTGCTATTTTTATTAAATATATATATATATATATATATATATATACACACATACACGCAATATATCAAATAGTACAATTTAACATATGTTGTAACTAAGAAAGTTGTAGAAAATAATTCTTTCTTTCATTGTTTAGAATCTATTAAAAATTTAATAATTATATAATTTTCAGAAACTTACGTTTTTTTTGGTTCAAGACTACGTGTATATCTTAAAGTGGCTTGCACAAGCCATTTGGACATATAAGCTATCATTTCCTTCTCTGTAATCGTACCATCTGTAATACGCACAGCTCCTAAAACAGTTATATTTGTAATACTTTATAATACTATATATAAAAATATTAAACTAAAATAAATATTAAAATAAACTAAAGATTAGCTTAATAAAAACTTACGCATAATACACTTCGCGAGCAACAAATCTTTGAATCCCATTTTTTTTAATTTTCCAGCCCAGCCGTACTGTTTTGCTATTTCATTTGTAATACTTCTTTTTAAAATGTTTATTATTAATTCTCGGCTGTCACGTCCGCCAATTTTATTCAACGAAATAGCCTATAAAAATCATAATTTATTTAAATTACTATTTATACCTAATTACGTATTTTATAAGTATATATAGGTATATATATGGAAAAAAATATTCACCATTTTCTCGAAAAAATCTTGATCTTCCAGATCTTTCTCCATGTTTTGGACTTGTTCGTGTGTTTTTAAAGGTAAAGCTACAAATTCCTCTAAAATTGATGCTTCTTTTTTTGTTGTATTATTTATTTGGTTTGCCTCTATTTTACAGAGGCGATCATCAACTAAATTTAGTTTTGTAAATATTTGGTTCAATCTTCTTAATATTTCAGGCAGCACATCTACAAAAAACAGCAGAATACATTCAGAACACTCGCATAATAATTGTTATTATAATACAAAAATATGTAGATTTGTCCGTATTAGAAAAAATTTATTTTGAAAGCTTTGTATAGTAAACATATATGAAATATATAAACAAGGCAAATCAGAGCCTGTGAGATTAACGCATCACCAACCGCGTATGGTTCTGATTTGCCTTGTTTATATATTTCGCGTTCGTTCATATTATAATTTCATGTCTATAAAATACATTATTTCATAATACAATAGTATTACTTTTGCCTGCAGTGTCTAAATAAGTGACTGAGGGCTCCTTTGTAAGATTTCTGTTAAAACTAGGATTATCAAATTCCACGCTTTGCATTTCGTTTCTCTTTGAAGGTTTAGTAACAATTAACGTTTTTGGCAATGGTGGTACTGGAAGTGTCTTATTTGCTTTTTGATGTTTAGAAATGATATCATTTCTAACGTTTACGTTATTGTTGTTGTTTTCATTGCTTTCGTCTGAAGAGTAATTATAATTTGTAAATAGTTTGTTTGGGCGTGATATGCGTTTCTGACATAAATTTTCCTTCTCAGAAAGATCTAAATCGGAATAATCTTTAGCAAGTTTTACTTTTTCCATTCCTGACTCGTACGTATCTGAAAATTAATGACAAATACAACATAAAATTTTAATTGTTAAATAACAAATATTAAGATTGTAAAATAATTTACTCACTTGCGGTCCCAAAAATGCGCAGAATTTTGTAAGCAGTCCACGTACTATTATCTGGAGAAATGTCGTCAATTATTGCTTTACGAAGCTTTTTTTCACTCAAAAGGCGGCCAGTAACACATTGTTTCGTCGTCAAATATCCACAATGATGGCACCAATTGGAGTCCATCATCAAATAGGACTATTGTAAATCGTGACATCTTCAATCTTCCATAAATATAGCTAATATATAAATATCTTGAAGCAATCGAAATAAAAATTAAATTAATTTGTTTTTAGAAATAATTAATAATAAGAAATAATTAATAATTTGTATTTCGATTTGTAAATAATTAATCGCAAAAATAAACATTCTTTCTTATCGCTGATTTAGTGATTTATATAATAACGTAGAACAAAATATACACATGAATATAATATATTCGTTGGTCTTTACTTGAGTACGAATTAGATAATTTTAATGCTATTTGTTCTAATTGAGTCAGTTTTAATTTTAAACTCACAATTCTTAATCTTTTGAATGCGTATTATAGCCTTATACGAAATAATTTTACGTCAAAAGATAATTTCATAACATAAATTTAATAATATTATATTATGTTGCCAACAAGTCAAATTAAAAAACTTAATTATAATTATTTTATTAATCTTATATAGAATAAAATAGTATTAAATAAAAAAAAAGAATTTTCAGAACTGTCGAATTTTTATTATATCAATATAATATCGTTACATGTCAGTTGTCAAGTATCTATAGAAAACATAATTATAGAATTAATGTAACAATTGTGTACCAATTAATAAAGCAAAAAAAGTAAAAAAATTTAATTAACATATATAATTTTATATTTGCTTATTATAATAAACTTAATTCACAGAAATGAAAGAAATATATTTTATGTATGTATAATAGGAAAAACAATGCTTAAATTATCTTTGTAAGTCATTTTCCACATTTTAGCTTCAATTTTTTCACATGGCCATACACGTATACGATCGTTTTCAATCACAATTTGAATATTAAAAGTATTCGATTCGCAAGGTAACAAGTACAAATTTTTTACATATTTTAATTTTTTCCCAATAATTAATTTTGTGTTATCTTCAGTTTGTATAAAGTTTAAAACTAAAACAACGGTTCCATTTTCTAAAAGTACACAATTATTTCCTTGATTATCGCAGTTAATCAAGTATGAATGACTCTGAAGTATTTTAAATTGAGAAATAACATTATATCCTTCAATCAGAGGTCCAGCTGTGTGACATTTTTTGAATAATATGCGATCATGAAAGTTATTAACACGATTTGAAGTCTTTGAATTTAACATTTCTATTTCAGCGTACCGTTTTACTGATTGCTGAAGAGGTTTATCTGGTTTACGAATCAATGTTTTAATACGTGTCATATGATTTTCGAATGGAAATGCACTATACTCATCTAAAGGTCCATATTTCCTTACATCTGCACAAATGTGCAATAAATTGTGAACATTATGAGAAACATATTGTTCACCATAAATTTGAGCGATTGTATTAACAAAATATTCTAGTAAACTTTGCGCATAGTCTATATTACTCATATTTTTTGAAAGAATTGGACTAACGAGAATTATTATTGCAACGTGTAAACTTAAAAAGTTTAAATAAACATCTTCTCTTAAAATATTTTTTAATACAACTGGACAAGTATGTAGGAGGAACTGTCGAAATTCTGTTGCTTTCCATAATCTAAAATCTATTAAAGATCTTGGTCTACGATGATACTCATAAGGCATTGTATTTCGTAAATTAAGTAACGCTTCTGATATCATTTGTTTCATTTGATTTGAAAGTTTCACTGAACTTGGTCCATTATGCCAAAGTAAAATTAGTTTCTTGACAACTCCTAAACATACTAGATGCATATAATCTAGTGGTACGGCTGTTACAGGTTTAAAATTAGGAATATTGGTTAATATTGTTTCTCCTGTTTGATAATTATTATATTTATAATTAATAAAATCTTCATCTGTTTTTAAAATAAAGTCATTATTTTCCGAGAAAAAGCATATTCGTCCATTAATATATTTCCCTCGAATAGTACATTTTGTACAGCTGCTATAACCATTAAAATTTATAATATTTAAAACAAAAGATTTAGCTGGAGCATCACATATTAAACCATCTATCTTAATTTCAATCTTTTGTCCGTTATGAATTAATGGATTATTTATTACATCAATTGCTTCGTCAACAAACTTTTGCAGAAAAACATTACTATTTGCAGGTTTTGCTTCGCCATAGTATGCCCCAACAATATATACTAATTTCGTAACAGAATTAAGACACAGTATAGGCCACAAAGAAGCATTACCAGATTTCGTAATTGGTAGTCCGTCGATATTTATAAAAACTCTAAGAATATTAGTCGAACCTACTTGTTGTATATGATCTCGTAACATTTTCTTAAGAGCTTTCTTAAAACCAAAATGATAATAATTCATTTCTGCAGGAATGCATTCCACATTTCTGGGAGTACCTAACAAAGTTCGCGGATCTTTAGGAAATGGTAAATTTGTACGTTTCCGTAAAATAAGGAACAAATTAGCTAGAGCTTTGTGCGATATACGATTATCTATATACCAATGACATAAATCTTTTTTAAATTCATCAAAATTTTCTGAATTTTCAATTTTATCCCCAGAATCATTTTCGAAATCGAATTCTATTTCGTTTTCTGACTGTAAATCCTCAACTTGGCAAGGTAATTCTACATCATCAAATTCGCCAGTTAGATCTATATTATTATCATCGATATCAGATTCAACAATATTATTACTTAAATTAATATCATTGTCATCATTATCATAATTGTCGAAATTATTCGAATCAGTACTTGGTTCTGTAATTGTATTGATAGTATAATTTTTAGATATTATTTCTGGACTGTTCTCATCAGCGGAAGATACATGATAAGAACAACCCGGTATTGGCTCAGATATGACATCTATATCCGTAGCTGTATTTTTTGCAATTAACCTTCGAACGTGTCGTTGAGAATAACACGAAAATCTTTTCCGTTTCTTCCATTGAAAAAATAAGTGTATATGTACTTACTGCGAATTCAACTTACTGCCTCAAATTCAACTTGCTGCAAACTCAATTCACTGCAAATTCAATTCACCTTTGATGAATATAATAATTAGAGACCTGTAATAATATGAAACATTATTAATTTTATTTTGAAGTAACACAGAAACAATAAAAATTTAGAATACTAAACAATGATAAATTAAAAGAAATGAGAAAAATGAACACTTCTATATCAATTTAAAAATGTGTATATAAAGAAGGATTTTAATATTGGATAGTTAGTAGTCTTATGTTGAATAAGATATATAGATAGCCCTAAATAACTCTTAATATGTGCATTGAAATACTATGTACACTTAATATCATTTTTTACTTTTCGATGAATTAATTCTCCTGCCAAGCAAAACTTTTTGGGAAGAATAGTGTAGACATTGTAAGATAAAATTAGAATACATATGATCAAAGATCTATTATTTATATAATAGATGTATAACATAATATATTTAGTATATTTTAAATTATACATACGTCTGAATATATTTGGGAATCCTTTTTTTTACATACTCTCTTTCTCGATGATCTTCAAGCATCAAAAGGGCTAATTATTTGCCACTTATTATTATTATCGATAAACCTAAAATTGAAAAAACAGATTATTATTTGGTTTTAATAAATATCAAATGTATGTATTTTTGTATCAATAAATATTTTTTCGTATCTATGTCTAATATTAATATTAATATTAATTGAATGCTACACGCATACTTTAGTACTATAGAGAACATCAAGAATTTGCATCTATTAATTTATTCTAATAATAACTATTAAATCTTTTTAATTTAGTCTATTATTATTTTATATCTTATTCAAAAAATTAATGATTATATTCTTATCAATCTGAATATTATATAAATACATATATAACTTTTGGTCGTTATAAATGTGAAAATAAAAGGCATAATTTTTGGCGTCTATAATCAATTAAAATAATAAATACCTAACAGAAATATCACACATTATAAAGTTAATAAATTCTAGAAAGATTAAATAAGAATATAATTCTAACAATAAATTGTTGTCCGATGCTGGTCGAGGTT